GGCTGAATGGTCTTTGACTTCTTACACTGTGTTCAAAAATTCTGAATTAGCAATGTGTAATATATGATACGCGAAGGAAATTCAAAATTAGCAGTATGTAATATGATATGATACGTGAGGGAATTCTGAACTAGCAATATGATATAATACGTGTAAGAATTTTATCAGAATGATACCGAGTGCACTTGCCTGCGAATTTCATGCATTGGGCCAAAATTAAATCAATTCAATCTCATCTTGCTTGCATATACATGCGCCGTGGAAACAAAATAGTGTTTTTAGCCCAAAGGGGCGGTTACCCCAGACCTTTTTCTATTTTTTTTGCCATCGACGGAACAGCTGGCCCACTGGGTTAGGTGCTTTTCAGCCTGTTGGATTCCGTCGATGGAAAAAATAAATATATGAATAAATATAAATGAGCTTAGTTCTGTGTCCTCCGGGGATTGGCCACGAAACGAGAAACATTGAAATAAGGGCCAGAGCATGGAAAGAAGATGCATGGTGAGGACTGCTGTAACTAAGCGAAACACTTTTCGCTATTATGGTACATGTTAGGCATACAGTTATATTAAGGATGTGCTATAATAATCAGGTACAGATGTAAAGATGTACATTACAAATTGTGGAATACATTAACGGCTATTAGTCTCCAAAAGACATTTTGCGTCGAATCACTATAAACGGAAGTATCACTTTTTAGATTGCTACCACCAAATATTATCGCCCTCTATTATATTTAAAGAAATCAAATAATAAAGAATATGAATGAATGTATGTATATTTCTCGCACTATGAATATACAACGATATCTAAAGCCATCAAATTTTGACTAACGTAGTCCTCCACCAGAATATTGGCACCTAAAGACTCGAATTTTGAGTTTGTTTTATTAATCTATTTAATATTTTTAAAGTTTACCGAATTTTTGAATAAGAAAGTCAAGGATTTCAAATCGAGCAGTGGCAAAACGCTGCACGGAATAAAATATTTTTATCACCAGCACGTGAGACTGTCTATCCGAAATTGGAAAGCTAGGCAGTTTTTAAATATGTTTAGCCCAAAGGGAGATTTGTCCAAGTGCTCTCGAAATGTGTATGTATGTTTAAATGAAAAGAACGCCCCTTTGGGCGTAATTTAAAATCTGAATGCTTCCGAATATTTAGACCTAAGGAGAGTTATTTTTATATTTATTGATTTATTAGTCCAAAGAAGCATTAGTTCAGAAGGGCTGTTTGTCTCGAAACGGAATTTTGAGTTAAGTCACTGTAAAAAGCTGAATCACTTTTCAAATTGTTGCCACAAAATATTATTGCCCTGCATTATTTTAAAAGGAATTAAATAAAGGAGATTGTGCATGAATGTATGTATGTTTCTAGCATTGTGGAACAAAAGGTACGTAGAGCCATCAAATTTTGAATAAGTTATCCTCCACCCAAACATGTCACCTAGAAGTCCGAATTTTGAATGACGAATTTGTTCTATTATCTATTTCACATTTAAAAACTTTAACGAATTTTTGGTTAACGGACTCAACGATTTCAAAGAAAGTAATGGCCACACTCTACGGAAAAAAGCATTTTTATCTCCAGCGTACGAGTCTATCTGAAATTCTAAAGATATGCAGTATTGAAATATTTCGTGATATTGCTGTTGAATTGAATTTTATGTGGTTTAACTGCAAAGACCATGATATTTAATAAATAAAGGCAACACACGAAACGTTAAAAAACTCCCCTTTAAGTGTAATGTAAAATCTGAAAGCTTTTAGATTTTTTTCTGTTCATTTTATTTCCATTTGAGATTTGAATAAATTAAATGCCATTTGAGATAAAAGATATTATTATATGCATTTTGTGTTAAGTGATTTTGCCAGGCTGTCAGTTAATGTAAGTTCTGTGAATAAAAACTAGTTTTCTACCGGATTAGAAGTGTTAGACACGTTTCCGATTAATGATGAGCTTATAAGTACTTAAGCAAGCTATAATTTAAGAATCAGCTGTAATATAAACTTTTAATATGCTTCCGTTGCATTTTTGGCCCCATGTTTGAATATAGTTGTTTACTATCAAAGTTAAAAGTAAAAAAAAAAAAAAAAAAAGAAGATAAAAGGAAGGAATGATTACTGAGGTGGTGCAAAAATTAAGGAACGAATTGTTTGCCCTTTCTGAAGTCTTTTCGCGTATTTTCATCATTTCAGAATATTAGAAAATGATGCTTTTCTGTGAAATACGGATAAACGTTGTTAACATGATTTCAATAAGAGAGGTAATAAGTCAACGTACGTGAGTGAAAACACATTTCTTGCAATGAATACCTGATTGATTATTCTCTTTAATGGGGAAATGATTTCATTCATCTAGCGGGTAACATTAGTGAAGAAATCATCTCAAATGTAATATAAGATAAATTTAATGAAATTGTTAATTGGAGATTGAGGAATTTGCATAAAAAAAGTTGATCTTTTACTTTATAAAAACAACATACATGTGGAAACATACTAAACTCCGAATAAGAACATAACCGCTTAAAAGTTAGTCACATAGAGGATGCTAAGAACATTATATTCATCGCTGATCCGAATACGATAATCTTTTACTTCATAACTGCACTGAATAATTACAAACAATAGTGAACTACTATAATAGGACAAAAACTATCGCGATGTGTCATAAGATAAGGCGATTTAGCGCATCGTACCGTTGGGTTCGATTTCCGGAGAAGACTTGAATGCTTGTAAATGTTTAGAGTCCGTTCGGCATGGGGCACTCTAAATATGCGGCGAGCCGAACGTCCTCTCGAGAGGTTGTGGTGGAATCCTTATGCCCTCGCATCCGTCCATTGATGGGTAACCAGACCTTGTTGCATCACAAAAACTAGTTCTGTGGTTTTGGCATAAATTTCGAAGTATTCAATCTTATCCCGACTTGGTATAAAGTTCGACCAATCAGAGCGAACGCGCTAAACCTATTGAGTGGGAAAGCTGTAGACACATCCACGTATGCTTAAATGTAGCTTCTCTAATTGGGTGTCTCGCAGGTATGAACGGAACTCCCGCATTTTATGCCTTATAACTGTGCTTCTATGACTTTTATACCATCGTCTGAATGGAGCCTATAAGAACACGGGTTGTTTTCGAAGACGATTACAGTAGCTTACAGATGTAGTTCGCTTTCATTTGTTCAATTAATGCGTAAACATATTTTCTACTTTACTAAATTATATAATATGGTATCTTTATGTTTGCTTATTTCGCTTTTAAATAGTTAATAAGTATTCCATGTAAGTAGTATTATAAATGCTGAAATTGTAAAAGATTTCAAATTATTCTTTTTTTGTGTTACTACGAATATCAGTTTGCATACATTATTTAGCCAATTTAAACTACTTTTTTATAGCTAATAAGGAAATTATTTAATATAATAATGTGTTTACTCCCAGTAAAATAAATAGAGACAATAATTTTCATTCTCAAACTTTAAAAAATTGCAAAAACTGTTAAGGAAGGAGAGAAGTTTTATATTTGAGTATGAAAAAACAATGTAAATTAAATTTTTTACATGAAAGATAATAAAACAAATTTTCAACAAAAAACAATTTTTTTTTTAAATTTTTATTATTAGAATTCATTTTAGACTAGTTCTTTCTTGCAAATGGTATTGTTTAAAAACGTTAAATTGGAAGGAAATATTTTAACTGAGTAGTAAATTATAACATTTAGAGCTGCATTACATTTCAGAAATCATAGTAGAAGCCAAGGACATTATTGAATGTAGGATGTTTCTTTCGTTTTTACACCCAAGAAATTGTTTATTAAATTTCGCACATGTATATAGGACTGCATATCTTTGAGAAACATGTGACTACTAGAGGAGATACTGCAAATGGTTATCGAGCATATCTGATTGACACACTTTATGGGAATCTAGCTTTACATCACGCAGTATAGACACATGCAATATGGGAGATTGGTCAGGGAGCAGACTTTCTTCTGATGGCATGGAGATTTTCCTCCTATCCTATTGCCTTACGTTCTTTTGAAGCAGATTTCTTTTGCATGTATTTTATAGCTCCGTGAATTTTCTTGTATCTGTTCCCGAAAGAACCTATGAAATATATATATACTCCAGTGACAAAAGCATCGTTTAAGCAAAAGAATTTCCATATCGTTTTCAATGATTAATTAAAAAAATATGTGTAAGCAAGCATTCTAAAATCACATCTCAGTTCTCAGTCATGTAATTGAATTTCCTCACTTTATGTTTAATCTTTCTTGGCGATCTATTAAGGACACATCTTAATTATTGCGCTTGAAGATTAAATTTCATCAAGGTACGTATATTATACAGATTTGCAAAATTATTGCCATCATCTGAGCACAAGAAAAGAACCTAGTTTGTAAAACGAATAAATTTTAAAATCATTATCTTTAACAGATGTCGATACGTTGCCTAAAATCATACTTAAATTTCTTAGCTTTGTAAGTTTATTTTCTTATTCAACGCTTCATTTATTCTGTGTTTTCTTGTTTGATTTATTTAAACCAACGAAGTCTAAAGCTTCATTGGTTTTCATAATGAAATGTTTTGGTGCCGACCATATAATTGGCAATTAACTTATATATGGTAATTAAAATTTACAATTAATAAGAAAATTACAAAATTTGTATAATAGATGAAAATTTTAAAAACAAGTCCATCCGGGACTTTTGATTTGTTCTTCTTTATGAATGATGTATTTCATTTATGTTTTAGTTGTTCTTGTTAATAAAACCGTGAAGCCCCAGACATTTTTGTATAACAAAAAAATACCCTTCTACATTAGGTATATGAAACTAATAAAATAAAAAGTACTCGTAAATTTTGCAATATGTTTGTTCACTGATTACTTTGAAAGTTTTCTGTTCAGTGTACCTATAGATTATTGTGAAAAATTCGTTAGATTAGCTAATGGGTTTTCTTGTTCTCAGATAAAGTTGTGAAATTATTAAAAATATTACAAAATAATATACATGTATATTTATATAACATTTAAATGTGCTATATATAAGTACTCAGCCGACCAGCGGTACATCAAATACATATTTACATCCAATATTGCTTTCTTGGACATAGTTACATACAAAAGGTTAAATATTTTACCGACCCGCGGTTATCATTACGATTATCAATGTACAAAGTGCATTTTGAAGTGAGAGTATATTATAATTATTATCATGAGAATGTCACAGGGTGATAAAAATATAACTGCCATAGTTTGAAAATATCATTACATGGTAACTACTAAAGTAACTTCATAAAGCTTTAAGACAATTTTCTCTTAAGTTCCTTTCTTGATCTAACAAAAAATCATTCAGCAGATTAATAGTTTTTACTGTTCATGCTTCTGAACGGTTATGTGATCAAGATACCTAGTTCGATATAGTCCTGTTAACTGCAGAACAAGCCACATTTTCTTCGAAATCACAAATGCCAGATTCGGGATTGAAAAGTAAACCTTGCTTGCAGTAGTGAGAGAACTTTTTGCCTCTAACACACCTATAGAAGACATGGCAATGACGAGTGTAATCTGGATAAAATCCGTCAGGTTTGTCGGTACAAACGAAATAGAAGCGTCCGGGTATTCCATGAACATGTCTCAATGATGGCCCTTTATCAGCATTTTCATCATATGAACCATATTTTGTAGAATTATATTCCTCCGGGTATTCGCACTGATAAGGTGTTTCAGACTCGCAAATCGATGTAACTGAACTAAATATCTTCCCTTTAGGACAAATAAATCTGTACGGTAAGTTGTTTATGCATCCAATGTAACTCTTGCACCCACTGCCATAATCGGGCATAAAATAATTTACTTTTCCATCGCAATCAAATGTAGTCTCAAGCACAGGCTCAGGCCTTACACAAACAACATTTTCTGGTAAGTCACAGTTTTTAGTTTCCGGATTAAAAAGCAGAACGCTTGGACAGCTGTATGTTTTTCGTATTGCTCTGAAACAAATATGAAATTTTTTGCATCCACTTTCATAATCTGGAAAAAATCCCGTATCTCCTTTCCTGCAAGCTGCATCAAAATCTCGACTCTGCATTCTTACTTGGTGCAGTTTTACAGAGCGGTCGTCCACAGATGTGAAAGCCTGGTCTGGTGCTTCATCATAGGATATCGTAGTTGAAATGACGGCTTTAGAACTGTGATGCTTTGAAGAATACGGCCGTTTATTTGTAGATTCATTATGGATTGTATTTGGAACTCTTGAATTATGTATTATATCTTGATTATCTGTAGATTTTGGAACTTCTTCTAAATAGGGATTTTCGTAATCATTCCATCTATGTTTGAAATCAGATGGTTTAGTTACCTGCTGATTTCTTACTGGAACGTAGCTGTAAGTTTCAGTGTAAAGTTCTTCAGGCCTGTAGACATGATATGTGTCATCGTGCTGTCTAAATTGCTTTTTCTGCGGTGAAGCGGTCGAAATGTGTCCAGATGGCATGCAATGCACGGCATCTTCTCGGTCGCATATCATTTTCATGGAATTAAATTTCTGTCTTTCTGGACAATAAACCGGAATTGCGTTTCCATTTTCACACACAAAATATCGTCTGCAGTCAGCAGTGAAATCAGCATACATACCATCATCAAGATGTTCGCAGCTGAAAACTACATTGATGGTCTCCAAACGCTTGGAACGAAATTTTTCACACATGTTACCATCATGAGCTGAAATACATTGTTGTTCTTCAGCATCAAATGTAAAATTAGACGGACAATAAAAAGATGTGCTTTTTTCATCAACGCAAAAATGAAATTTGCGGCAAGATAAAGCATCAGGATAAATTCCATTTGACACTGAAATGCAATTATAGTCAGAATCTTTCACTTCTGAAACACGAACAGCTGGAGAACGAAACATTCTTCGTTGAACAGTGTAATTTGTGTTGCATATATCAGCGCTTTCAATACATTTACTGTAACCTATATGATACTGCATTCCTGGAGGACATATGTTGGTAAATCCTACGCCATTTCTGCATTCATGCCACTCAGAACAGTTAGAACCTATGTATATTCCGTCATCCCCTGGAAGACATTGAAATGTTGCAACGGCAAATGGAGTCTTGCACTTATTTTTATTACTTTGGCAAGAATTACTTTCTGGATCAAACCACAGGCCTTCTGAACATTCATAGTATTTTGTTTGACCGTAAGCGCAAATTGCATATCTCCGGCAATCGCTGGAAAATTCAGGAAATATTCCCAGACGGTTGTCGCAGTTATATGAATCAAATAATCTGGGTGGTGATGCCACAGAAGAATGATCACGGCATAAAACGTAACTAGAGGGAAGACATCTTCCTGTGGCCACATCGTACAATTCTGTACCTGGACAATAAGATATTGATACTCTCTTTTGATTTAAGCAAATGTAGTAAGCTGAACAACCAGTGTCATAATTGGGATAAATCCCATCTGGCATTCCATCACAGTCTGTATCTACTATAGAAGAACACACGACTAAAGAAGATGGCTGGCAGTTGCCATTACTTGGATTGAGAAGTTTACCCTGAGGACAAGATCCTTGATGTGTCAGCAATCCGTCTAAGCATAAGAAAAAATCTCTGCACCCAGAATTATAATCCGGATGAATTCCATTTGCCTTTCCCGTACATTTACTTATATTTGGTTTAGGACAATAAGCGTCAGGTTCACAGGTAAGCGTTTTAGAATCAAATAATGTATTCGCAGGGCAGTTAAATGTTTTCAAACCTCCATTCATGCACAAACCAAAAACTTTACAGTCAGCTGCAAAATCAGGATAATATCCATCGGGTATACCAGAACACTGAGCAGATTCAGAGCCGTGGCATCTGGTAACAGAGCTTTTCGAACATCTGTGGTGTCTTGCATTGTATATAGTACCCTCTGGGCACATAAATTCTGAAATATTTCCAGAGCGGCATTCGAAATAGCGTTTGCAATAGCTAGTTGAATCAACATAAATTCCGTCTTCCTTATCTTTGCATGATAAAACGTCACAAGATAGACTGTTTGACGAGCGACAAGATTTGGTTCTCCAGTCAAATGTAGATGCAGCTGGACATTTAAAAGTTGTTTTCACTCCTCCTGAAAAATAAAAATGGAATGTAAGTTATTTTTAAATATATAAATTTCACATTAAAACTTAAATTTGAAATTTTGATTTACTGAATATTACTCTCAACATAAATTCATTTAATATGTGCTAGTGTCTAAACAGATAAAATAATACCTTTATTTTCAAGAATATTAAAATAATGCTATCCTTAGTTTATGAAAGATTTACGGCTCTTTAAACAGTGTAATAAAAGGGGACTACAAATGATTAAAGCACTTCACTTTCAAAAGAATATAAGAAAATAAACTCATAATAAATTTTATAAAACTGCATGCAAAATGTTTATAATTTTTACCTTTAAATAAGGGGTTCGGAAAAGAGAGCTTTCATTTCTTTCAGTATTGATACAAAACATATATTCCCATCTGAATATTTCTCATAATAATATGGAGAATTTGATATCAGCTTCAGCATTATGACTACGGAAGTTCTGTAAGCGTAAAAGCTATCTTTTGATATATTCCCATTATAGCTAAAACCTTATAGTATAATAAAGCGTTCCAAATAATTAAATCCTTTAGTAAATATGCGCAATTTTCCACCTAAATTTACGATAAAATAATAGCAAAGCAATGTTTTCGAGTTTTGTATGGTTCGTTTTCAGCAGTTCACCATAAATAAAAAAATCGATAGTCTGCATGTTAAATTTATAGGGAACTTATTCATACACTACACTATTAGATCTAATATTGAAAACTTAGTTAAAACTGTTTCAATTGTTAAAGTGAAATCATGAGCAGATTGCACTTTCTTTCTAACTTAGTCACTTAATCACTTTGATAGCACTTTCTTTACTTATACAGTAATTCCTTGCAGAACGTGATTTTGCGTATACGCGTTACCTTAATTGTCTCCATTTAATTTGCTCAACGCGAGAATTTCAATTATACACGCTACACCACAGAGCAGCGGACGCATTGCGATGGTCCTCTTTAATGACTAGTTTGAAAATTTATTCATTAAAGTAGTCAAACATTACTTAAAGCACATACTCAAGGAATGGAGATGAAACTCTCAAAACATTGCATCCAAATGCACAAGTTTTATTCCTTCTACCGAACACCAACTCCTTGATCCAATTAATGGATCAGGGAATCATAAAATCATTCAAAGCCTATCATATCGGGTATGCTTACATCTCTGCAAATAAAGCATTAGACAAAGGAAAGCGAGTCACACTAATGGGATTTCGGAAGCAATTCAGCGTTAAGACTTGAGAGAGAAGACGTAAATTCTTCAAAAATGAATACCCGCTGACATCAGCTCTGGCCAGATATTATCAATAATTTGAAGGATTTCTATCGATTGAAATTGAAACCAAGGAAATTGCCCAAATTGGGAAAGCAATAGGTGGCGAAGGATTTTCAGATATAGGAGGAGAAATCAAAGAATTACTTCAGAATGACGACTGTCAAATGGGAGATGAAACATTAGTTAATCGTATTGTAGAGCTATTAGGGATTTTTATACTGGAGACGTGAAAATGTGCAGTGCCACCGCTGGGACTCGAACCCTGGACTTCTCGAATATGCTTCAAGTGTGCTTCAGCTTGCAGAATGCTGGCAGAAAAGAGGAAGAAGATGCCTTATATACTTCCCTTTTTAAAGGGCTACTCTGAAAAGGGGACCCAACTGCCAAAACTTGGTATTGATGAATTATCGTCCACCACTATTTAGTTCGGGCACTACTAAAGTCATTAGGATGTTTTTATCCTGGCGGCAAGAAAAATGTGCAGTGCCCTCGCTGGAGCTAGAATCCTGGACCTACCCGAGCGTAGAGTATGCATCTAATAACACCACCAAGGAGGCATGCTGAAAGGAGGGAAAAATACCTTACAGTATCAAACTATTAAACTCTGAAATCAGTGAACTATGAATCAGTAAATAATTCAGTGAATCCGTGAATTATGAAGTGTGACTAATCAGTGAACACCATCAAACTATGAAATCAGTGATCGTGAAGAATGTAAAGAACCTTTTTAACGTACATGATGTTAAACGAATATTTAAAAAAGGCAGAGAAACTGTCTGATTTTGCAATGAAGATCAACCCAAATGAAGAAAGAAGAGAAGAATGTAAGGTATTGAAAAACTTTGCACTCTTTACCTCGAAATATATAATTAGTTTATTAGACATTGTCCCGAGAAAAATTCACCAGTTATTTCAAAAAATAATTGTATCATGTACTTACTTATTAAGTAGTAATAGAAATCTTATCAATTATCAAGTGTTTAATTTTTTCTTTAAATTACAATAATACTCGTATTTATGTTTATATAAATTATGCAAACTTTTTTAATCTTCCCTATGCCTAAAACACTATTTCCATCGAAAATTAACTTTGCAGCACGCGCAAGACATTAAAGAAGTTGTTGGAGCTCTAAACTGTAATATCAAGATTTCAGATTTTGATATTACTTTATTTTACCCAACGTTACCAAAGTCTAGTGCTAGCCAGACGGTATAGTGGTTAGGGGAGACTTATGTGGTACCGGAGATGCTGGATTGGAAACCCGGAGAAGGCATGGATATTTTTAATTGTACAGAAATTTTCCGGCGTATAGGCGCCCTTTAAATGCATTGCGAACTAAAAGTTTTTTCGATAGGTTGATGGGTAGAGTAAGAGAGGTGGAACACACTCGGACCTGCTCCCCAGAGTGCTCTCCATGGAAACTGCTGCGGAATTGCTCTAAGTAGTACTGCCACCTGTGTGGTGCTCAAGGCCCAACGACAGGCGGAATCTTGCTCTCTTTGCCACGATGAATTTCGTGGGCTTGTTCTGATGTTACTGTCAGACAGGTGAGATAAGTCACAACCACCAAGGTATAGGAACAGTGAATAGCAAGAAAATAATGGCTTGAGCGAAAAGCAACTGACTGAAAAATTAGTAATTAAGCATAATTTTCGAATTTGTTTAAGCCAAAACTTCAATTTAGCTAAACTGGTTAAAAGTATCACGCGAAATGTTTTCATCGGTATCCATAATCTGAAAATTTTCGATCGTAAAACAATATACTACTATTTCTACAAGCATTGCTTATATATATATGTGTTTCAATTAAATTCTACGTTTTTACTTGTCTAATGCAGCCCAGACGGTACAGTTGTTAGGGAGCCTACTGCGGTACCGAAGGGCCCGAGTCTGAATCCTGGAGAAGGCATGAATGTTTGTAAATGTATAGTGTCTTTGCGGCATGGGGGCACGCTAAATATATGGCTAGCCGAAAGTTCTTTCGTGTGGATTGGTGGTAGGACCCGCCTCGGACTGCTCTTCCTCAAAACTAGAGTGGAAATAGAAGTGCCACCTCCTTGAGGCTCTGGCAACCATTATTCCATAAAATTCATGGACAAGACAACAGCGACAACAATGGCCTAATAAAGTCTGAGATGTAAAATTATTTGCCTTTAAGAATCAAACAAAAATAATACAGTATACAATTGAAATCTAAAAAAAATTAGCAAAAATAATTATTATTGTTAACGACTTCAACAAAAATATTTGCAGAACTATTAAAAATATAAACCATAGAACAGTTTATTTATTACTTATTCTGAAGTTTTGAATTGTGATTAAAACACGTTTTTTATATTTTAAACATCGCATTTCAGAAAGAGAATACAACCCCGGCAGTTCGAAACACTCATTTCTCCGTCTATTACGACTTCATGAGCAGCACAAGGGATTAACTGTAGGGCTGAAAGTCTTTAAGGATATCTTAGTCTCTAAAGCTACTTTTAGCAGCTGTAACTGCAGAAGTCGAAATAGCAATCTCATTTAAAATCCAAATGAGATTCTTTTCTCAAAATCTCGCATCCGAAGAGCTTAAGGTGGAAGAAAAATCAATGAAAGAGACAGACCCAGAGTTAAGTCGGTCGTTTGAAAACTGAATAAACCTTAGAATCAAATGAATGATTCTTTGCGTCTTGATCTAAAGCTCCCTTGGGTTCCTTTTTGGAGGAAGGTTCTCAGATGGGGGACGCTATTTCAGAACATATGATTCTGACTCTGATGGATAAGCACCGGGGCTCTTCAACCACCAAATCGTTTGGGTGCGTTACTCAATGATTGTGGACCCAAGAGAAAGTTTCCACAATGGCGCAATTTATAATAAACGCAAAATAGAAAATAAGCTTCTTCAGATCCTTTGAACTAAAAAGGCAAAGGAGAAGGAACCATCAAGGTTGTAGAATAATAAGACATTAAATAACTTTCATATTGTATGTATGAATTTTATTAAAATTAAGTAAAATTACTTAAGTAGCCTATTACTCTAGAAACTGTGGCATTTCAAAATGCACTATTTTTGTAAAATTAGAAAAAAGAATTCTGAAATGGTTCTACTCTGAAAGGATTATAAAAATTCAGTAAGAAATGTTTAAAATAAAATTCATAAATTCGCGCCAATTCAGCGTAAATGAAAGTGCGATATTTGGAAAAAAAATAGAGATACATGCTGCCCCCGAATTCTAGAACATAATTATAACTGCCGCCGCCTAGACGGTATAGTGGTTAGGGGAGCCTCCTGCTGTACCGAAGAGCCTGAGTCGAATCCCGGAGAAGGCAGGGGTGCGTGTAAATGTATAGTGTCTATGCGGCATGATAGGACACTCTAAATATATGGCGAGCTTAAAGTCCTCTCGTGTGGTTTGGTAGTATGGGAGAGGAGTAGAAGATCCTCGGACCACGCCACGGGATGCTCTCCCTAAAAACTGGGGAGGGAAGTAGAAGTCCAACCTACTTCAGGCTCTGGCAACCATTCTTCTGTGAAATACTTGGACAAGACAACAACATTGTAACTGCCGGAATATAATTCATACTGTTAAAAATTATAGTTTAGCACCGTTACTGGTGGCTGAGTACTGAACACTACAAAGTCAATCCAAGCTTTTTCTAGACGTCAGCGCAAATTGGCGATTTGGGCTTTCCGTGAATAACATAAAAGTTTTTTAAGTTCCCTTTAGAGATTTC